TTGGGTAGATAATAAAACAAGAAATGTATTTAAAGTTTCTTGATAATATTCATAACTTGATAAATTCGATCTATAATATTTATTTATTTATTTATTTATTATTATTATCAAATTCTCAAAATATTCCAAAAAAGAAAATTTTTTTAAAATCTTACATAGGATCCAAATTCGTTATAACTTTTAATAATGCATCAATCAATTGTTCAGCTTTAAGTCTTGAATCTTTCATAATTTCAGGGTCAATAACAAGTTTCTGATATTTTGAAAAATCTGGTTTTTCATTACTATTGTTATCGAGTTGAGATTCTGAAAAGTTATTCTGAATTATTCCTAATAATAATAATAATGAATAATAATAATATGATTTAATTTTTTAGTTGTTAAGGTGCGGGGAAAAAATATAATCGTTTACCTTCAAATTGTTTATGTATCTCATTACAGGTCATGTTACCAGCGAAATGTTTTGTAAACATTCTCACAAGAAATAAAGAATTATATGCTTCAAAAGGAATATCACTAATATATATATATATATGTGCGTTTGAGAGAGAGTATAAATAAATCGATGTTTAATAAATTAATAAATTTATCAATTTATCATTAATTACCCTGTAAATTCCGATGACAAAATATGACCTATTTGATTCAACGAATGTTGTAATAATGTATTGAAATTTCCAGTTTTCAAGTTGTTGTTTGCTAAATTAACAGTTAATTAGTATTTACATTTACAATTAATAAACTATTTGATAAACATTACTTAAGCATACTTGAAATATAATTAATTACCTAATTCAATAGCTAAACTTACAGTTGCTATTTCAACATCATAAGCATCTTGTCTATTTATCACGTTTAACATAATAATTATTTTAAAATTAACATAAATATTTTTTTTTACAAAATAATCCTAACAGAATTAACTTACCCAGTATTAGTAGTGAAAAATTTCTCATTCATTAGTATTGATTCCCAAACCGATAAATCATATGGCGAAATTGGTGTTTCAGAACATAATAATTTCAGTTGATTGTATTGAAGTGTTGAAAATATTTCTTGTAATAATTCTGTAAAAGATTTATTATTTTGTTGTATAAATGGTCTTTTATTATGAATAGCTGTTATTGGAGTTGATGGTGTTGATGCTAATGATGTAGGCGATGATAAATTTATTAATGATGATGATGTTGATAATGATGATGATGATGATGATGATGACGGAAATATTGAAGAAGTAATTAAATTACTATTGCCATTATTATTACTACCGCTATTGCTATTGCTATTATAATTATTATAATTATTATTAATACTATGATTTATATTTTTGTTAAATATTGATTGTTTATTAAAATTTTGCGATGTTGATGATAAAATACTTGGTTTTGGATATAATAATAAATTTGGTTGTTCAAGTATAATTGATTTATTATTAGCATTCTTATTATTA